GTTACTACTCCTCCTACGACTATGGAACTTCACGAAGAGTCTTAACAAGCACCCCTCTCGAGAAAACGTCGTCACCACATTCTCAAGCAGTCAAACACAAAGAATTATCCTTGGAAGAATACTCAGCAAAGATCAACATTACATCAGAGCCACGTCATAAGACTCTGGACGGACAACTCTGGCAAAACGCGTCAACAAATACCTCGAACAAAATCCTCGCACAAAACTGTGTTTCAACTCATTGACCAATTTGAAATAAGCTTCGGAAGCACATAGGCCTCAACCATGTCTTACCAAAATATGTCAAATCCTTCCTCCAATACATCGTTCAGAACAGTCATCAATACCAAATACATGCGGCACAAATAGACAAACGTTAAAAACCCGGCGTTCGAAGACGCCAGAGGAAACCTTCGCCAATTATGCCGTTTCTCAAACATCCAGACATGGACTTCTTGACAGCCCCCCTGCTGCATCATCTCCCAAAATATAAACGTTTAACAGTCCCCCTGCTGCATCATCTCCCAAAACACAAACGCTAACAGCCCCCCTGCTGCAACAACTCTCGGATCCAAATAACGAGAAATCAAACGAATATCATGAAGTTACGTCCGATCTCCGCGGGAAAAACGCGGAATCGCGAATAAACAAGAATTGGACGAAGTTGCCTCAAACTCCGCAGGTAAACGCGGAATCGCAAACAAACAACAACAATGGAGGACTTCTCCTCATTTTCCGCAGGTAAAACGCGGAAAAACGTGAACAAAATGAACAATCAAACCCGAACGTCCGCTAGAACTCTGCTTGTACTGCGGCGAAGATCATGGCATCTCAGCATCACATTCATCCCCCCCCATGATTTTCGACAGCAGTGCTAGCAGTGACCCAACAACATCAACTGCACCATTCGGCGCGGTGAAGTCCTAGACTATGCAAACCATATCGTTGACAAATGAAAAACACATGTACCACAGACCATAAACACCACGTTCGTTCGTGCGCATCGCAACACAACAGCCTGACGTCGACGCAGTTCTCAAACTCATGGCTTTCAACAAACAAAATCGACCCAGAAAATAGAAAGTCAAATAAACATAATTCTCACGAACGTGCCTGAATCGCACGTAGACTCATGGTGCAACCACCGGTCATCTCGCACGGTAGCTCCCGAACACGTAGCCTCTCAATTCATGCCGCACCCTTCCAGCCACGATCGAATGTTCAGCCCTGGCATTACCCCCCATCGTCCCGCACCACGCAGATACCATTGTACACGGTCGGATGGGCGCCGGGATGCCCCGCACCCGCACCCGCACCCGCACCCGCAGACAACGCCACGAAGCTGCCGTCGCCGCTGCCGCCGTTGCTGTTGCCGCCTTCGTCGCCATTGTCCAACCAACAGCCATCCTCATCGCACGCGTCCTCCGCTTCTTGCGCTGCTGGTGCCGGTGTAGCTGCTGATGTGGGCACTGCGATCGCCCCCCCAGTTGATACGGCGGGGGGTATCTGGCCGCAGGTTGACGAAACCTCCAGTGCCACCGTTCCTGCAGCTGACGGCGTCCCGGTCGTTCCCCCCATTGACGAGTCGGGGAAAACACCATTACCTGTCGTCGTCCCCACCGTTGTTTCCGCTGCTGAAGCCACGCCTGCTGACGACACAAGTGGTGGGCCCGGCTGCACATGCAGTGCCGGTTTCTTGGCCGCCAATTTCCCCCATTGCCTCCGTATGTCAGCAAGCTCTTCTTTCATGCTTTCGAGTTTACCCGTCGCCGGTGCCGCCGCCGGTGGCACCACTGATACCGTCGCTTCAACAGCAAGTGCCTGCTCCCCGGCCGTCCCCACTGCCGCCGCCGCGGGGAAGACTCTGTTGCCGGGGGTCCCCGCTCTCGCCGCCGTTGCTGCCTCCGATGCCGCTGCTCCAGCCGCGAGTGCCTGCGCCGCGGCCGTTCCCCCCGCCACCGTAGCGGGGAAACCACCACCACCGGTCGCCGCTCCCACAGCAGTTGCTGTGCCCCATGCCACCGCTCCATCTGCAAAGGGGAGGAGCG